TTGAAGAATCAATCTGTTGGCTATCACATCCAGAAATATTTGGGCCCTACTATTATTAATAGCACTTGTCCTCCAATCTATATATGGGAAATTAGTTTCCCATAATCTCATAATTCCCTGTAGTACACAAATAAAGGGCAATGCATAGGGTCCAATCTAAGGAAGGAATTTGACTCAGAGAAATGATCACGCCTTAGACTCGGGTTTTTAACAACCAGGAAAAAAAGAAGGGTTGAGTATTCAATATATCGTGGTGGAGGAAACAATAAGATTTGGTTACAATGTGTTGGGGAAGAGGGATTAAGTCTAAAATGACACTAAAATTGCAAGCCCAAGACACAGGTTATGAAAACTCTTAAAAACAACAAAAGTTATTTGAGTACAAACTTGATCTTTTAAAAAGGTGTTCAACTGTTGACATAATATCCCTGTGTGTAAGCAGCCAACTCAGAACAATGTAAAATAAACTGTACCAAATCTGCTGTTCTCAAAATATTTCTTGTTGAAGAGGATAAAATTCATCAGTCATGAAGTAAAATCCCATGACGTGTGCCTGAGGGTTCTTTTACGAATATTCCTTTTGAAAAATAATTCTGAGAACTTCTCCCTGTGGCTTCAGCACTGTGAAGTTTGTAACACAAAGCTAGGAATGTTGCTAGATCAGTTTGAAAAGTAAAATTGGAACTTTGAGACAAGTTTGTCAAAATTGATAAGTAATAGTACTGAGAAGTCCTGTAGGGAATTATTTTTGTGTTTCCCATTTAGGATTCTATGATATTACTTGCTACAGAAACTGAAAAAATTAAAGAAAAACATAGCCATTAAATTACTGCTCAAAAATGAATAATCTTCTGGATTGTAGCAGGGATAAAATAAAACATGTCTACTCTGGAACTTCAGAGCTATACAACCCAAAAGTCAGGCCAGAGAAGGTTTCATTTTGGACGCGTTTTCTCTGCTAAATCTGGGATCCAAGTGTTAGTTGGAAACAAAGATCATTTTTCCAGCAACCTTTGTATCTGCCATGCCCCAGAGAAATCATCAGAGAAATAATGGAACTGAGGTGACTGTGTGTCAGGATGGCCAGTGTTAGCTCACCGTTTCCTTGTGCTCCCCTGTCTGTCTTGTCCACCTGTTGAGTTGTCTTATGCTTGTTCTGTAAGGGCTATGGAGCAAGGGTAGTCGTTTTGTTGGTCTGTGTTTGTACAGCACCTAGCAAAATAGGTCCTGGTCCCTGAGTAGAATTCCTACTGCAATACAAATAATAAATAAAATATATAAATGACACTAATAACCTCATGTGCTATGTAATGGGTATCATGCTCCAACATTAAATCAGGAAATTTTCTTACCAGCCACCATAACTTTATGAAGTTTTCTATTAAAAATGGTTATAGGTGACTGGTTAGATGTATTCAGACTAATTACAGTGACTTGCAGGTTGGCAAAGGGGCTGTCATTCTCTGTGGCCATGTTGTATGCCATTCTAATAAGGATGCACTGTTTGTTTTGGACTTCATTCATCTGAGTATGTATCAACACAGACAGATTTCATCAGTGATACTATCAGAGTGATTCAAAGAAAGTGTTTTGAAACACTCAGATGTTATAATTGCTTACAATTCTTCCATGAATAGATTAGAAACACAAATGACAGATAATATGATATCCTGGTGGATATTAATATCATAATGTATTCTGACTTGAGTAATAGCTGTTGCTTTGGCCAGTGCCCTCAAGTAGATAGCTTCTTTTAGAGGGAGAAATGGTTCACTTTGAGATTAAAAATATTCTCTCTTCCTTCCCCCACTTTGCTCTTATTGCAATAGAAACATAACTGCATATAAAGTTTTGTAGGCAAGAGTCGTGAGTGACTGCATTACTCAGGAGCAGCAAAACCACATGGGAGTTGTTCAGGTCATCCAAAACCCTTCACTCAAAAGCACACCAGACCACCCTGCATTTTTGTTTTGCCTTACATTTAACAGAAACTATTTTGGAAGTGTTTTGCAGCATTCTTTAAATGTTACAGTATGCTGTATATACCTCTAACATGTAGAACCACTATTAATCCAACTATATGCATGCTTTGAGGGAAGGAAAATGTATGTATGCAGAGAAGAAAGTTAAACTCCTTATCCATCAGAGATGCCCAACCCCTATATGAAATGCACAGTTTCAATGCCTTCATAATATGTAGTAACATAGATCATCTAAATTCAAATGGAAATAAGCAGCAAGAAATATTTTATAGGAAGCTATGGATTAACCATAATTGTTAGGTCACTGAGTAAAAATTTGGATGAATACCTATGTATCTGATTATTAATAACATTAATTGTTACTTGTCTTACTATGGCATCTCCAAGCCCCAGCCATGGACCAACACCCTAATGTGGTAGGCACTATACAAACACAGAACAATACATTTACAATCTAAGGCCCCATTCCTGTAAACACTTATGCACATGCGTAATTTTATCATGCAGCTATTCATAATAGTAAAGTTAAGCGTGTGAATTTTTACAGGATTGGGGCCCAAGTATTAAGATGAGAGACAGGTGGATTTAGATAGATTGGGGAGCTTAAGGAAAATGTGAGACAATACTGATCAAGGTCATAGGACATTGGGGTGTGCTGATATTACTGCCTAAGTGTTATGGGTTTTTTTTTTGTAGGTATCACAGCAAAGGAGAGTTGTAAGGAGGATAATTTAAGCTACTTTGTGCATGTTTATAGGGAGCTTCTCCCATGTGTGATGGGCATGTAAACAGGGTGGCATGCCCCATTAAAGGTAAAGAGGCCTGGGGCCAGCCAGCCCTATTCAATTCCCCCAGCTGGGAAGAGGTCAACTGATCTCTGTAATGGGCTGAGAGAGTTCAGTTGGGAGAATCTGCAGTGGAACTGAAGGGAAGGGCATGTCCTCCTTTCAACACTGACAGAGGCAAGGGGAACAGCCTCTGAGGGTATGTCTACGCTGCTGTCAAGGTTCCTCCCCCACTCTGAACTCTAGGGTACAGATGTGGGGACCTGCATGAAAAACCTCCTAAGCTTATCTTTACCAGCTTAGGTCAAAACTTCCCCAAGGTACAAAATATTCCACCCGTTGTCCTTGGACTGGCCGCTACCACCACCGAACTAATACTGGTTACTGGGGAAGAGCTGTTTGGACGCGTCCTTCCCCCCAAAATACTTCCCAAAACCTTGCACCCCACTTCCTGGACAAGGTTTGGTAAAAAGCCTCACCAATTTGCCTAGGTGACTACAGACCCAGACCCTTGGATCTTAAGAACAATGAACAATCCTCCCAACACTTGCACCCCTCCTTTCCTGGGAAATGTTGGATAAAAAGCCTCACCAATTTGCATAGGTGACCACAGACCCAAACCCTTGGATCTAAGAACAATGAAAAAGCATTCAGTTTCTTACAAGAAGACTTTTAATAAAAATAGAAGTAAATAGAAATGAAGAAATCCCCCCTGTAAAATCAGGATGGTAGATATCTTACAGGGTAATTAGATTCAAAAACATAGAGAACCCCTCTAGGCAAAACCTTAAGTTACAAAAAAGATACACAGACAGAAATAGTTATTCTATTCAGCACAATTCTTTTCTCAGCCATTTAAAGAAATCATAATCTAACACATACCTAGCTAGATTACTTACTAAAAGTTCTAAGACTCCATTCCTGGTCTATCCCCGACAAAGACCAGCATATAGACAGACACACAGACCCTTTGTTTCTCTCCCTCCTCCCAGCTTTTGAAAGTATCTTGTTTCCTCATTGGTCATTTTGGTCAGGTGCCAGCGAGGTTACCTTTAGCTTCTTAACCCTTTACAGGTGAGAGGAGCTTTCCCCTGGCCAGGAAGGATTTCAAAGGGGTTTACCCTTCCCTTTATATTTATGACAGCTGCAATTAGTTGGCTCAGGTCATCTGAGTTGGGCATGCGGGGCTTGGGCTTTTGGGTTGTTTAGTTGTGGTATAGATGTTTGGGCCCAGGCTTGAGCCTGGGTTCTGGGGCCCCACAAGTGGCAGGGCCCCAGAGCCTGGACTCCAGCCAAAGTCCAAAATATAGACAGCAATTTACATTCCCGTAGCCAAGCCCCATGAACCCAAATCAGCTGACATGGGCCAGCCGCAGGTGTTTAATTGCAGTGTATATATACCCAGAGACCTGTAGGCCAGGGTTGGCAGAAGAACTGCTTGATTTTGATGCTTTCCCTAAATTTTATGTTGAAAAAATAAAACTGTGTCTAAAAATAGACTTGGATGTAGCTAAGGCTCCTTCCTGGGAAGGTGAGGAGAACCAACCATAATTTTGGGTTTAAAAAAAGATACAGAATGAAGCTGGAGAGTACAGTATTTTCTCCTTCTTAGAAACAGTTCCTCCAGAAGACAGGAGAGAGATGTTTTTGAGACAGTGGGGAGGAAGCATTCACTGCCACTCTATGTGCCGTTACAGTACCTATTTGGACATGAAAGAGGATTTCATTCTGCACTGCTATCAAACTGGAAATATTCAATTAGAATTTGTTTTTACTGTTTAAAAATTTTGTGTTTACAGAAAAACTAACAAAATTTCCCATGGTTGTAAAAATCCGTTAAAAAATCAAGTTAATATTGATCCTTTAATTGTTTTTTATATAATAGGTATGAGTAGGAATGTGTGAGTATGGGCAGGCATTTGAAGGAGATCCTCATATAAATTGATTTACAAACAAATTGTCCACTGAATGTACACTTGGGTTCTGATCATGTAATGTGTAGTAGGTGAACTACTGCCTTTTCCTGGCATCTGATTGACTTCAGTGGGACTTCATGCACTTACAGCATCTGTAGGACCAGGGCTATAAATAAGTGAACTATCATTGGTACCATGAAAGCATTTTATATTTGTTTGTATTTAATTTTGGCTGTTAAGATTTTGTTCAGGATTGTTTAATGGGAACAGATTTCCTAGTTCTTTACTGATGATGCTAAATAACTTCTGTCTTTTAGCTGAACATACTACATGACCTACACCAAAATGAAGTGGAAAGGAATTTTGAAAATATAGAGGATGAAACTAGTGCCCGAAGCAATATAGACAGAAAGATGTGTGAATTAAGAGCAGAGGTAATGTTTTTCCAAGGCATATCTAACTTCTTTTGCAGATACATAACTCTGCATATATATCAAATACTAGTTTCTATGAAGTTAAAGTTTGTAACGTTATATATCTTTGGAAAATTCAATGACTCATGTACAAACCATTGTAATGATCAGTGTCTCCTACACACAAAAAAAGTTCTGTAATAGCAGACAGGCAAGGAAAAAATAGGAAGAGAAAAATTGCTGATTTTTTGGCATTTAACAATAACATTGTGCAATGATATCAGCTTGCAGCAGACTAAGAAACATTTGAACGGTGCAGAAAGGAAGAAATAGTTCATTTCCAAAGATGTTTGAGCAAAAATGCATGTCTCATTGTGAGTAAAACTCATTAACAAGTTCAATCTGTTGCTGGGTTTGGTGTCTCAAGATATTGTCAGATCCAGTGACTTATATCATCTATTTAGTAGAAATTTTGGTGGACTTGATGGAGTTCTTGGAAGACATTCTCACAGTAACAAACAAACAGTATAATTTTATTTTTGTCTTGTATTGAACTGATATTTGAGATACTTGTCAAATAAAATTGTGGCAAGAATGTCTCCTCCTGCACAGAGAGTGTCATGGATTCTGGAATTCTTTGTTCACAGTTTTTAGATGAGAAAAAAGTAATCCAGAGTTGATCATCTGTATAGTATTAATCATTGCACAGAACTGCCAAAGATCACCCACACTGAGTGACATTTATGCCTGTAGACCACCACCCTGCCTGATGGGACAGCAGCGCTGCTAGAATTTCACACAGGCAGGCAGCAGGGATTGCCCTGCCATTGATTCTTTCAGATCCTGAGGTCTTCTGCAATGCTCACTCAGCTCTCATAGCTGCCACAGAATAACAACCAGGGAGAATAGGTGGCAGCAGAACACTAGGTGAGATGAATGACGTAAACCCATACATCACAGGTAACTAAGCCCACCCACTCCTGAATCCCCTCTCCAGCTGCTTCTTCTACCTGGCAATAGAGATCCTGTATGAAGGGGGATTCCAATAACATGTTTATAGGGAGCTCGGTGGGATCGGTTACTGCCTCCCATTCATATTTGCTCCCTGTCAGTGACTGTGATTTGTGATTTGTATCACCCTGAACCCATGCCTGGCATGGCTTTTTGTAGTGGTGGTAATGTAATGGTAATGTGAGTTTCTGAGAGAAACATCACAGATGGAACAGCTGTGCACAACTTAGCTATGATTGGCTGAATTTTAAGAATGGCTACTCGCAATCAGAATAGAACTGTGAGTAATCTTTGACATAGGTTCATGTTATGTGTCCATATTGTTCAGGGTAACTAAAAATCTTGATACAAAAAGAAGTTTGGAGAGAGCTCATTAACAATGCAGAGGTGATCAATGATCTATTAGTTAATGCAAAGGACTGGGACTTGAGTCTGCCTTCAGTTCTTAGATGTGACACAGTCCTCATGTGTAATGAGGGCAAGTCACTTACTCTTTGGGTCTTAAGTTCCCGTTCATAAAATGCAGATAATAAAACTTCGCTACGTCACTAGAGTTAAATCAATAAATACTTGGGATTCTCAGACACTCTGATGATGGGCTATGAGAGAGTTCTTTCATTTCATTGTGCTACAAGGGTTTTTGTTGCCTTTCTTTATATGCAAAAGTCTTAATGTATACTTCATATGTGCTTTAATTCCAAGACCACAAAACATTTGTTGGTAGGAAATTGCCATTTATGCTATCTCTTCAGGACAAAGATGGCTCAGATATGTTCTTAGAGGAGCAATGCCTCTAGCTCCACTTCTCATGTTGCCTGTATGAATGGGAAGTAAGAGTATGCTAAATTCCCAGGCAGACTGCATGCTAAAACCAGCTTCCCATAGGCCCTGTTAGAGCAAGAGAACTGATGTATAGGACAAGAGGTCTTTCTGTTCTACTTTGTCGCTATTTTCAACATATAAAGCACAGTGATAGCACAGGGCTCTTCCCTATCACAAACATGAGTTGAGTCAAATTTAAAAAAAAAAAAAGAATTAAAGGGACACTCTCTCATAGATATTTTTTTTTAAATTGACTAATTGTAAAACATTTCAATATGATAGAGCACTATTTAAAAAGGCTGTCCTGACTTTGGGGGAATGAAAGAAAATCCTGTACCTATTGCCACGTTCTGGGGGACAATTCAGACCAGTGGGGGGTTGTATCATTGCCTGCCCTGTAACCCTGGATGCCTTAAATGCTCTGTTGTGGTGGCTCACAGCCTGGACTCTGGCAGCCACCTGAGAAGCATGACGTGTGTGTTAAGCAGCTCTGGCTTAATGCTCTGATTCCAGCAGCCTGTTTGTTACATGCCAATCAATGAAGGCTTCGTTGCTACTAGCCAAGTGAATCTAACACATGTCCAGTCTCAAATTTTCCCAAAACCATGTACTCTGCAATGTCTGGCCCTTTCCAGGACCATTCAGAGGAATAATAATGTTGTGCATTTTGTCTCTTTAGAGAAAAAAACAAGCTTATCATGTCAATTCAAACACAGCAGTGGGTTGGTTTAGATAAAAATAAAACAAGTGTATTAATAAAGGAAGATAGGATTTTAAGTGAGTTCATATATAAAGGATAGAGTTAGAAAGGGCTACAAGGAAAGAAAGGTGGAAAAACTCTTTCTAGAAATTAAGACTTAACAAAACTATAGTCTTGGTTCAAGGTAAGATGTTTACCATGCTTTCTTCTAGCAAGATCTCTGACCCCCGACATCTCCCCACACGTACACACACACATCCTTGGTCAGTATCTCTCCCCAGAGGCAAGAGATTTTTGTTCCTTTGTCATCTTATGTGAAAGATAAGATGTGGTTCTTTGCTCCTTTCTTCTAGTCCAGTGAACCTTTGAAATGGATTTTTCTGATGGTTACTCCTCAAAGTAAAGTTCATTCAAGCTGCGAGGAAGGAGACATGGAGTGTGGTGGTGAAAGAAGTTCCATGCTGGTTTCTTATCTCACTGGTGTTTTCAAAATGCAAAGGGATCTGTTCCTGCCCACTCTGAGGTAAATCAATGGCCACTAGCCATGTGATTGCTAATCAACTCTGATGACACCCAGCTGGAGGCATCAGCTTGTCCTGTATTTGGGAGAAATCTGTTTACCCACTCCCCAGACTTGCCTTGTAAACGTTTTTTAGTCCCACATTTTCTTCATATTTGTATGGTCCCTTAGGCATTTACCAAACATATTCCATGCAAAAATATGAATGACCAGTGTGTTGTTTTTCCTGTGATACCTTACACTATCAGATTATGGTTCATGGCATTAATGCATTGGAGCATGCTGAACTGATCATGCCATCTGAAACTAACTACCAGAAACCAGTGAGCCCTTTGCTCCCTTCCATTGGGATGCGGTTAGAGTCACACACACCTTTTTATAAGAGATTTTCTTCTCCGCTGAATATAGTTTTTTTTTCATCTAGGGACTATATGGGAAACAGTGAAACTGACTCCACATAAAGAACTGTGAAATACTCCAAGTCAGTGGCTCTCAATCTTTCCAGCTACAATACCCCTTTCAGGAGTCTGATTTGTCTTGCATACTCCAAGTTTCACTTCACTTAAATACTACTTGCTTATAAAATCAGATATAAAAATACAAAAGTGTCATATCACTCTATTATCATTTTACCATATAATTATAAAATAAATCAATTAGAATATAAATATTGTACTTACATTTCAGTGTATAGTATATAGAGCAATATAAAAAAGTCATTGTCTGTGTGAAATTTTAATTTGTACTGACTTTGTTAATGCTTTTTATGTAGCCTGTTACAAAACTAGGCAAATATCTAGATGTATCTACATGTATTCCCTGGAAGACCACTGCGTATCCCCAGGGATACATGTACCCCTGGTTGAATACCACTGCTTAAATAAGCCAAGTGAAAAATAATTTTCTGTTAGAGTACATTAACATACAGTTATAAATATTGATTTCAGTGTCATTACTCCTTATTTTATTTTGTTAGAAATGGGAGGCGAATCAGGCCCAGTAAACACGAGGTTACACCATTTTAGGGGATTACAGGACACAAAGAACGAAGTTCAGAATATGGAGGGAAAAGGGAGAGGCAAGGCATGAAGAAGAGCATAGAGAAAGTAGGAGGAAGTGGCAAGATCTACTGTTAGAGAGAGAGAGATGTTATGAAATGCCTTGGAGGCTAGAACTGGGAACTTGAATCTGACGGGATAAAAGATAGGAAGACAATGAAGAGGTTCAGATGAGTGAGTGTTGTGGTCATATATAAAGTAAGCTATGCAATATTATTTTTTTCTTTATATCATCATATTGTAAAGTATCCAAATGGTTCTCCAGAATTAGGCTCATTGTCTCTTTATTATTTAATTTCCCTACATTTCCACAATTAAGACTTCAGTAAATTGAGTCTGAGTGTAGCGAGGAGACGTGACCTCCCTCAGAGAGTGACAGGGAGGAACCACAACATGCCCCCTGGTGGGCCGAACCAGGAGAGCCTTCCACTGCCCCGCCGGAAGTGGAAGGGCGAGACAGGAAGGGGAAGTACAAAAGGAAGGCCTTGCAGCTCAGTTGGAGTGGAGCTATCAGAGGAGATGAATGCATCCTGCCTGCTGCTGGAGCCTGCAGAAGAGCTGCCAGGGCTGCCTCAGGACTGGCCAGAGCTCCCAGGACTGCTGGCTGACCAAGATGCTGAGGAGTTGCTGGGGCTGCCACCTGTGGACTGGACAGATCTCCTTGGGCTGCCAGCCGACGAGACGCCGAGGAGCTGCTGGGGCTGCTGCCCACGGACTGGCCAGAGGGACGATATGACAGATGCAGATACACCCAAGGGGGAGAGTAGGAAGCACCCCAGGGAAACCAGGCAACAGTCTGGTTGGGAGCTGGCCTGATACAAAGTTAGCCTGTTGTGGGTAAATTCCCGCTGACCCAGTAATGGACCATTCTGTTTGGACCCTGGGCTGGGATGTAGTGGAGTTGGGCTGG